CAACTTTTATTAAGATATTTTTAACAACCGTCTTATGTTTTTTCACAAGATAAATTAGTATAATATAAGGTTTTATTTCATATTTTTTAATTTATGATTAATATCTAAAATTTGATATTTTTGAGTTTTTTAAGAATTAAAAATCTAAGAATAGATGATTTTATATAATGTGTAGAAAAGTTTCATGGAATAATAAAGATTCAAGAACATAAGACTTAAAAGCAACAAAAAACATAAAGAATATGATATGGTATAAAGAACATTTATTGATTACATTTATTAAATCCAAACATCAACTAGTAGCAATGATATGGTATAAATAAATAAAAAATTAAAATTCAACTTTAAGAATTTTTTTCTAATATATAGAATTAAAAATTGATAAATTCATTTGAAGAGTTATCATTTGCGAAAGTGCCAAATGTAACAAATAGATTTTTTTGGTTTTTGCAGTCTCAAAATTAAAATGAAGATTACTAAGCAAAAAATTAATTTTATAAAATTGATGGAAAAATATAGTATGAATGTGGTAATAATTTTCTAAGAGATTTTTAATGCTTAATAATATTATTGGAGATATGTACTACATTTAATGGCATAAAAAATATATTGTTTGAAGATAGTTATGAATGCCTTAATAATGATCAAATAGATAAGTGGTTTTCTTATAATTTTATAGAAAATTAGTTATAGCTAAAGAGATTTGTTAACTACTTTGTGCAAAACATAGATCAAAACTTGTTGCTAATACTATTTGATGGATCTTAGAGTTCATTAACTTATGAAGTAATTTCACAAATTTTTGTGGAACTTGTCTTATAAAAAAGAAAGATATCATATAAGATTCATATATTATTTTAATAAATATAATTAAGTAGAAATATGTAAAAACATATTAAGAAGACAATATTTTCTTTAAAAATCCTTAAAGAATTATTTTAGATATAGATTAGATATTTTAAATATATTATATAGCTATTAATATATTTTTAATATCTCTCTCTCTCTCTCTCTCTCTCTCCCTCTCTCTTTCTATATATATATATATTTTATGATTTTGTATTAGAAGCAACCTACAACTTGATGGTTTAACCATATACCTATTAATTCTTTGGAAGCATCTATAAAACCATTTTAATAGCTAATATCTGTAGATGTAAATTTAAGACCATCTTCAATCTTCTCAAATGTTTTTTCAGATTTCAATTTTGGTTTAAGATTCCTTAAATTCTTTGTAATGCACAATAGCCATTGTAGTTTCTTCTTATCTCATGTCTATTTCTTATTTTTCTACTTTTTCATTTATTATGATAAAAAAAAATATTATCTTCTTAGAGTTTTGTCTTAATTCAAGTTCTTAATATAAAGTTATTAAATTTATTTGGCAATAATGTTAAACTTGACCAATCACTTATATGTAATTAAGTCAAAGATTTAAAGTTAAAAAATTGAGTTTATAACGATGTGAAGTTTAAGAGATTAAAAATGTAAGATTCTGCAATTTATTTGGGAAAAATTTCAAGTTTAAAAAAAATATATATACTTTATTAGATAAAGATATAAAATTATTTAATTTTTGTGAAAAGAATATTGAGTATTTATAATATTTTATATTAAATATAGTCAAAGCTTTAAAATTTTGTAATTCAATTAACAATAAATTTAAGCTTGTGCAATGACTTATATCAATTTTATTCGTAGATACAAGTATTTGTAATATCTTTGGTAATTTTATCATATGTTTGCAACCTTGGACGTTGATTTTTTTAATAAAGTTATATAATTTATTTCTTTTGGTAATATACTTAAAAATTCACATTTTTATAAATCAAATTTTGTTAAAGTGATAATTTTTAAAATAAATTTTAAGAGTTTTTATATATAGTTTTTTATTATAAGATATTTAAACTTAGTTCTTTCATTGTGCTCAAAAGTCCCAAATATTTATTTTTAGAACCTTTTTCATAAAAGCCTCTTTCTATTTGTCCCAAAATTTTTAAATTTTTAATGTCACTATTAGAATGCTTTAAAATCTTGAACACAAGTATTAGAATGCTTTAAAAATCTTTAAAATATTTTTGTCAGGAAACCAATTAAAGATCTCCAAACTATTGATGTATACTTAAAGAATAAATCCCAAAACTTGATCATTGTAGATTATTGACAATTATTCAAATCTAAAATTTTAATCACAAAATCAATATAATGTAATAATTTTACTAGGTATTTTATTGATGCACATTGATGTAAGTCTTAAAAAATTATTAAAAAAAACACACACACACACATACACACAAGTATAATTCACAAAAAAATATATAATACTTAAAATTTGAAAATAGATTTTTGATTTAGAATTTAATTTAAAAAATACTCTTCAACAATACTCACCAAATATTCTTTAAAATTTATCTTCAAATCCTTCAACTTTTGATACACCAAATCTTCTTCATTCTAATATTATAAAAAATACTTTCAATATAAAGATTATATAAAAAATTAAATATAAAAAAATTGAACCAAAAGATAAATATGGACTACATATAAAATCTTAGAACTTGAGAAAAATAAAATCTATACATATTCAAATTATAATACAATTAAATAAACAAAACATCTATTAAATAAACTTCTCACAGATTGAAAAAAAGAAAAAAAGAAAAAAAGAATATAATATAAGGTATTTTTAACAACTATAAATTTCATAATTACTTCCATTATTAAATTGTACTATCAAACTAGGTACCATTTATTGAAGTTTTTACTTACAAGTATTCGGACATTATAATAATTGTCATGAGTGCACTAAAATAAGAATATATTCAATTTACAAAGATTGTATTAATATATATATATATATATATATATATATAATATTTATTTCCAATGTATGAGTATGTGTGGTATTGACAAGCATGCATAATATGCATAGATTAAAGTTATAATTTTGCAATAGATACTTAATTTCAGATTTTGATTTTAGGTTGAAGGCCTAAGTTGAGCAAGGTCTCAATTTTAGCAATAGAGCATGGTAATTTCCTATAGTAACACATTTGCCAAAATGACACACAATTATTTTTTTTTATCTCAAATCCAAAGTTTTTTTAAGGCTAGAGTATTATCAAAAGTTTCATCCATAGCTATGTGAATCAACTCTTTAGATTATTTTTGATGGAATTTAGTCTAATAATATTGTACTATAATTAAAGTTCTACAAAAGTAAATTTTTTGAAGTGTTTTCTTATTAGAATTTTTTTTGTTGTAAATATCAAATTCTAACTTTTGCTTATAGGTTTTTAGGATTAAGATTGGAATAAAATTATTTGACGATTCTTCAAGTATTCATTTCTTTTAAGATACATGTGAAGTACATAATATACATAAGTGTTATGTGTTACAAATTGAAGATTAAAGAATATACATATCTTGCAATTTTTTTTTTCTAGTAATCTAGGATTAAAGTGTAATATTTAAAACTAAGTCCTTGAGAAGAAGTAGTAGAGTAGATCAAAACATCTAAATAAGGTAGCGAGAAGTTGAAACTATATAATAAGATGTTATTTTTTATTTTTACATAATTATAATTATGTTCTATTTTGGCAATTGCATCACCATAGCCAATCATCATGTTCTATTGCTATAATTAAGACCTCATCCAACTTAAGCCTTCATTTTAAGATTAAAATTTTAGATTTAAGCATCTGTAGCAAAATTGCAATATTAATCTATATAAATTGTACTTATTTTTTCTTGCTACTTTCATTCTTAGTATAAAAAAATATATTCTAGCTATATATATATATATATATATGTTTCCCATTTCAATATAATCTTTGTAGAATTAAAGCATTGTTGCTTTACAAGCAATTTTTATCTTTTTTGAGTGAAAACTACACCAACATATATGATTTTCATACAAATTTTAATGCTTGTTCTATTGTTTCTAGCCATATTGATTAGTTTGACGTCCACTAAAATATTAAAATTTTCTATTGTTCTTGGCTTTGAACTTAATATACAAATACTAAAAACTTGCAATAATATTAAAATAGACAATCTTATAAGGAGATTTTACTAATTCAAATTCAAATACAACATGCTTTATTATAATTTTCTTACAAAACCAATTTTTGCATTTTCTTCATTATTTAACTCAAATTATCAAGTTTTTTGAAGCAACAATTTGAAGTATTTATTTGAATTCCTTCTTGTATTTGGCAATGCAAAATTGTATAATATGTTTGATCTACTTAATGCTAAATTACATTCCACACCACAACTTAAAGTCTCTCAATAATTGAGTCTTAACTAAATCTTAAAATAAGATTTTACAAACTTCAAAATGTAGACATTAAACACCACATCTAAATCTTGTTTGGTATCTTCAACTCAAATCATTTATCAATGCCACACAATATCATAGATTCAAGTTTGAGCATTCAAATTATATATTTCTTGTTTAATTTAACATCCAATTCTTACTCCTAGCTCTATATTTCCTAATCATAGGATCAGTATTCAACTAATAGACATAAACCCAAGTCTAAAATCTTATTCTCACTTGTATAACGTTTCTTATGAATTTCTTGGATTCACAACACTTACAAAATGTATTTCCAACTCTCTTAGCTTAAAATTGATATGAAAAGATGTTTAGTGCTTTCTTTCATATTTCGTATTTTTCCACAACAGATGTGATTTTTACAACGATCTTTTTTCTTGTAACAGAAAATATTATTCTATTTATATCAACAACTGTACTTGATGAAAATTTGTGGCAGATTATTTGATGTTTAGGAAGCCATCAAATGACCTACGGCAGTCTTCATGCTTTTAACATTTTGCAAAAATAATTTTCATTTTGACATATCATCTATATACACTTTTAATCTATTCAGACACAAATATGTTGTTTTGAACTTCCTGAATTGTCCAAAAACACTTACACAACTCAATGCTTCATCTTATGATTTTCTTTTTCCCTCTTTCTTTTTTTGAGATGCAGACTAATTATCTTTCTTATCATTTACAAAAGATGATTGGAAAGTGGTTTGTCAGATAATCACCTGTAATTTTATCGACAAGAATCCCATTAAGGGCAAAATAATATTTCTATCTCTATGAATCTAAGGACTCAAGACGATGGAGCCTGCAGAGTAATAAACCGGATAAAAATACGCATATATTTACACGTGCTAAGTAACCTGTCGAATTAGTACATGATTCTGAAGCTAAGATGCATTACAATGAACGTGACTGATATATCTTGGTGAAATAACGCTACGTGGGTGAACTCTGATTTATAGAAAAGGACGGGTCCAATTAATTGCAGGAGAGCAGCAGCAGCATTGCTTCAAGGTTGATCAGCGTCGTTGCTGATATCAACTGAATATTTGTCCTCAGAGACCTCGGGTTCTCCTTCTAAAACTTTGACGCAGGCTAATTGGGTCAGAAGAGCTGAAAGGATCATACCATAGCTGGCTAACTTTGAAGCTCGCATCCAAGTGCCTGTCAAGAGTGCTGCAGATGCATATACCGTAGGATTAGCCATCACTCAGCTGAATTTCCAATAGTCTACGTCCTTGCATTAAGAGTGGTTTACGAATGAAGGAGTTCGCTTCGATGAGAATAAAGCAGGACTTAAGCGAAATAATCCACACCTGAACTGGAGCTCCACATGAAGGAAACTATAACCAAGGATAGGCCTCCATAAAGCACCTGACTGTAGCTCCCACTCAAAACCCGTGTCGGCCTTGCAACAGCCACTTTCTGCAGCAGACAATGAAATAGATTCTGAAGTCGGGAACTGTGACGAGTAATAGTTCAAAAATACAAATCTCAAACCATGTTCGGGTATTCTCAAAAAAGCAGGGAAAATCCCGTGATAAACTTGCACACCTTCTCAACAGATGATTTAGTGGTAGAAGCCGACCGCAGACGGCGGAGTCTTGGTGCAGGGTATAGATTCTTGAAGAACAACCCTTCATTCCTAGAGTACGCAACCACCTGCTGATATTCTTCAAAATCAAGCTCCTGAGCCTGAACAGTTGACCACTGGTTTACAATGATCTAATTGAAAACAATTACGAACAGAAGTCGTCTGCAGAATCCCGATCAACGTTTAGAGAACCCAACAGCCATCTTTGAACATACAATTAAATGAAAAAAATATACCTCAAGTTCAGCCCTTGCCAGCCTAAGCTCCCGATCAATCGCATGAGCACGTGCATCGAGCTGCCTGAGCACCTGCAACGCCCAATTAGATACATAAGTCCAAACGCAAGCGCACTTCCAGTAACAATAACCATAGCCATGGCTATGTTACCCCCACCACATGCACGCACGTGCACACACACTTCGTTTGTTCCATTGACAATTTTAATGCCAACTAGGCTGCAAAGAAATGTCTGCTACTCACTCTGCTGCCGGACGCATCTAAACCTTTCATGGTCCTGTAAGCGATACGATCATACTGGTCATATGTGTCTCGCGCAATGGTGCGCATATGCCGCGACCTTTCATCAACGAAATCCGACACACGAGACTTGCCAATCTGAATCTGCAGCATCTCCACCAGCATTTGCTGCACCTGTGGATCTCCCCCGACATTGTCATTACTGTCGCCTCTCGCACACCCTGTGATCAACTTCCGCACTTCCCGTGATCCATTGAACTTCCTGTGCCGTGACCTAGATTCTAGAGAGAACCCTAACTTTGAGGCATTGCTTAGGCCCTTGGAAAATCGACAAATATTTAAGTGAACACAACTCTTTGAAGCACCTCGAAGGCTTCCAGAACTCAAGGATCTGAAGGTAATCATTACATGACTAGACTTGCGTGATGTCAAGTCTTGAGAGGTGCGATTTGAGGCTCTCTGGCACACTGTTGAAGAATAAGAGAGCAGCGCCATCTAGTTTATTAGATTCTAACTTCAATGACCTACCAACAGCAAAGCACATGGTGAGTCGAGTATCCTCCACATTTCAATTCAGAACCTTGTGTCAACAAACCTGATCTACTTGTTAAAGATACAGCATAGCTTTCAAAACATTATCATACCGATTCAAAAAATGTGTCTGAACATGCCAAGGTGTGGCTAGAGAGCAACTGAAAGTTAGACAGTAGCATTCGTGGACTCAATTGAGTAAAACGTGCAGTCAAATCTCTTTACTTCCAAACTACTTACAATCACGAAACGGAAAACACAGTCTGCTGGAAGCAAGGGGCTTGCTCAGTTATAGCGACAAGGTTCGAAACACTGACCGATTCATTGAGATCTGCTCACGGGATGCGGGAAAAATAAAAAATAAAAAATCATGGTTTCCCCAGCTGGACAATCTCAATGCACCAGATGTGACATGGTAACAAAAACTCAAATGTTCGAAACTTTGAAAGAGGAAGCAAATGGCGTGCTTTCGCTACCAACATAAAAGGCAACACTAGGTGCAGGCCTAGGAATCAACGTCAATACTATAAATGCAAGACGATCAATCTGCGACTAATCATGTAGCTGTGTGCACAAAACCAAGGCAGTGATTCACTTCACAGGCCAAAAAGCACTAAAACCAAAACGATCATGCCCAAAGGCTCTAGCTATTCAGGAAAATGAGGATATTCTTTACTTTTCCATCATCTTCCGCACCCTCGCAGAACACAACCCTCGAACAAAAACGGTCGCTGAAATTCCATGAGACACAACCACAGAACTTCACGCACAAGCAAATGTCCCCAAAAGAAACAAGACACATCCAAACAATTGACCTCCCAAAAACCCTTCGCCACAAAACAGAACCACGCGATCGCAACAGCACAAGCAAGCCATGGCACCCCGCTCCAATCTTTCAAAATGAACAACACAAAACAACGCAAAAATTATCTAAAAAGAGCACGTCTTATTTAAACTGCAAAGGTTGAATAAACTTCCTGCTCAATTGCACCCCACGACAAACACCCCACACAACTCCTGATTCAAAACTGGAACTGAAACCGTGAGAATGTTCGCGGTTTGACGCGTTCAAAGCCAAAAGAAGAAGGCCTGCTGCACAATCGACACGACGACCTACAAGACAACAACAGAATGCAGCAAATTTCGGGAGAGAAGCAGGAACCCACCTCACGTGACGCCGCAGAAGGAGATTCCACGTTGCTCCTCTCTCACGAATTACATGCAAAATACGAATCGCTGACTGAAGAGGAATTGTTCTCGCTATCGACAGGTTGTTGAGCTTGATCGGAAGCTTACACGAACGATGATCGCTACCAAAGCGGGACCCAAATTCGATCGATTGATCGACCGATCGAAGGAAGTCCAGAAGGCTGCGCCGCTCCAACTGGTGTGCTGCGAAAGACAACCCCTGAGGACCGTCCACTATTTCTCGTCGACGTTCGTCGTCGTTCACAATTTTGTGTTCGAAAGTCGACGATATGGCACCATTCGCTGACGAAGTCGGTGGAGTAGACGAACGATTCAGTTCGTTGTTTGGCGGGGGAGTGAAGGGACGGCGTTGTGTGCACTCCCACCGATGGTCGCGCATTTCCGAAGTTTCGTCCCTGTCGGCGACGAATTCTTGTAGTCACGACGGAGATCGACGATAGAAGTTCCTCAGTTTAGATGGATGTTTATTATGAAATAAATAATATATTAAATATGTAAAACAATACTATGCATATTATTATTCGTTAGATTGACAAGTTTCACATGAAACAACTATGTAGAATAACTTGTAAAAAACAGAATAATCCAAAGACTTTTAACATTTCAACTTCATGAAAATAGTAATGTCACAAATTGAATAACTAAGTTGTAATATATAGTTCAACTATTCGAACTATTTGAATATATATATATATATATATAACTATTCAAATACTATAATTAGTAACAAATTTTATTACAAATTATATTGTAATATAAATCTATAATGACCATATTATACTTAAATATAGATAAAATTATTTTAAAACCAATAATATCAATTATTTAAAATATATAAAACAATTTTAGCTATTGATATTATTAACTATGTGAATAATTTTTTAAATAATTTTTTTGGAATTCAATCATATTTTGGTAATATATATATACTATGCTTCATAATATATACATATATATATATATATATATATAGTATAAAATTCTAAGGAAAAAAAAGTGAAAAAATAAACACAAAAAAATTTAGATAAAATATAATCTATATTTAGAAGAATTGTTCTAAATCTTATTGTAACATTCACATGTTCTAGCACAGACCACTACATGTGAATTACATGTAATGCATATATATTACATGTATTATTTTACTAAAATTCTATTTTATTAAAATTACATATATTGTATATATCATTTTACTAAAATTGCACATATAATGCATGTATCATTTTTACTAGATGTTAATAATTATTTATTTATTTATTTATTTATGTAAATAAAGAATATTTAGAAATATATATATTTTTTAAATAATACAATTTTCTTCTTTCATAAAAATTAAAAAAACAATATTATTTTATTAATTCTAAAATCATTCTAGGTAATATTTTAACTTCAAATTGCTTAAAAGTAGAAATTTTACTTTTATGCAAAAAAGAATTGTATACACTTATCAATCTATTTACATTTAAAAGAAATTTTGGATTATCAAAGAAATTTCTTATGAAAAAAATAATCTTTGATAAATAATAAAATAAAATAAAATAAATATGACAAATTTGAATCAAAACACCTTTAAGTATCATAAGTATAAGTACAATTATATTTTTTAATCAAAATAAAGATAGAAATAGATTAGATAGATGTCAAGGACACAAATGGGATGAAGACATATAAATTCGTGGAATCTATATCAAAAAGAAAATGGCAAAATAGAAGAAAGTATTTATATTCACAAAAGAATTGGAATGGCTATTGCTAAAGAGTAGAAAACATGAGACTCTTGAAATAAGACTAAAAGCAAGAAAAGAGTTGACAGGAGTGAGGAAGGCCTCACTCTTGCCTCTATATATACTATTTAATTAAGAAATATGCGGCAACATGCTATAGGATCTCTAATATGCATCCAACTTGTAGGACACATGTCTAACTTATAAGGCAAGTTTCCTAAGTGTGCGCCATATGTCCAACTTATACTATAAGTCGTCAACATGTCAACATGTGGCCTCCTTGTTAGCCAAGTTTTTAACCTACCAATCACCTATAGACATGTATAAAGGCAAAGGAGCATCTATGAAGCTTCTATGAAACTTTCCACAAGATATTATCATATTTATCTACTTTGACTTATTTCTATCTATTCTTATTATCTAAATAATTATCAAGATAAATATGTATATCCGTGACATTACTCCCTCTTCTAGGAAAGAGTTCCACGAGGAGCATTGATTACATGTTAAAGAAGTCCAAGATGCATGAAACTGTATTTGCCTCATACTCAAATCTTTATTTCCTTTGAAGGTAGTTTATAGGTTCCTTCAACCATTGATAATGTCCTATATCAAGGCAAGAAGTTTACCTTGATATTTAATCACTATCGAGGCCTTCATAACTTCTTTCAAATAAAGCATTAGTAATACCATCAAAAGTGGTTCCTACCTCCAAAAGTAACACTAAACATCAAGAGTTCCTTCCAAGGTTGTGGTATCAAGCACATTGTATCTTGCCATGTATTTAAAGAAGAATATTTTATTCTTGAGGATCTTCATCTCAATTTCATCATCTTGAAGGTTGTGATAGTTGTAATGTCTCATTTGGTAGCTTAGCAAATGATAGTTTTTGAGTTGAATCTGCTAGTTGTTGATTCTCCATCTCCTAAGCACTAAAAAATCCAAAGAAACAATAACACAAGATAGAATGAAATCTCCATTGGACTTCTTTTGCTTTATAGCAAAGAATTTCTTAACTCTTTATCTTGGTTTTGATGAATGTCGTTGCTGAAATGTTTTAATTTTGGCTGATGCATTTTTTAGATTTCTAGATGGCTCCCATGTATATTCATTTATGTCATATCCATGCCAATATATTAGATATTGTAACCTATTTTGGCACTGCCTTGAAAATAGATTCTCCTTAAACTCAAACTTAGAAGTATCTTGAGATTTAGAAGAATTATTTTTAATATCATGAAAAAGAAGATTTGAACACATATTTATTTGGATATGCTAGAAAAAAATCAAATCAACACTCAATGTTGATTTCATTGCTTGAAGATGAAATTGTTTTGGCTTTTGTAAACTTATCTTTTGTTAGTCAAAAGTTGCTTCTTCTTCTTTTGATATAAGATAAAAACATTTAAAAAAGGCATCAGACAAATATTATTTTTTTTTTGGCCGATAAGTGATATTGAACTCAAATCTTAACAAAGACATGCTCTAATGAACTTAACAACAATTCAAAATACGTGCTAACATAAAATACTTGAGGTTCTTGTAATTTACATATATGGTGAGTGGACTTAAAGCACCTTCTAAATAGTAATACCATTCTTTAAAAAAAATCCACAATTGTAAGAAGTTCTTTCTTGTGGATCTCATAATTAATCTTAACTACTGAAAAAAATTTAAATAAAAAACTACTACATGAAGTTTGTCATCTGTTCCTATTTGTAACAAGACTACACCTAAGGTAAAGTTACATGCATCTGTCTCTATAAAAAATGCTTTCAAAAAGTCAATGCGATGCATGATTGGTGCAAAAATAAAAGCTTTCTTCAAAGCTTCAAATGATGCTTCTACTTCTTTACTCTACTCAAGCTTGTCTTTACAAATTAAGCATGTAAGTGTCACTGTAGCTTGAGAAAAATTCTTGATGAAGATCCGATAGTGATTGGCAAATCCCCAAAAATATTGTACATCTCTTATTGTTTTTGGAATCTTCCAATGTATGATTGTATGAATTTTTTAAGGATCCATCATTAGACCATTGTTTAAAATGATGTATCCTAAGAAGTCAACTTGAGTAGTGTAGAATACACACTTTTCCATCTTGGCATACAATCTTGTATCTCTAAGTTTTTGTAACACACGACGAACATGAACTTCATATTCTTCTATGTTCATAGAGTAGATTAAAATATCATCTAAGTAACAAACAACAAAATCATCTAGAAACTCACAAAAAATATCATTCATAAGATATTAAAAAAAAGTTGGTGCATTGGTGAGTCCAAAAAGCATGACATTATATTCAAAGTATCCATACTTTGTTCAAAATGTAGTCTTCCATTTATCTCCTTCTTTAATGCGGACCATATTGTATACTCTTTATAAATCTATTTTTGTATAGATCTTAACTTGAATTAATTTATCAAGAAGTCCAAATTTCAAAGGCAGAGGATATTTATTCTTGATGGTAATCTTGTTGAGTCCTTGATAATCCACACACTTTTGCAATGATCCATCTTTTTTCTTCACAATTAAGATAGGAGCTTCTATAGGAGATTTGGAATGGCATATGAAATTCTTGACCAAGTTCTCATCAATGTATTTCTTGAATTGAGCCAACTGATTTTGTGATAAATTATAGATTGGACCAAATGGCGGTTGAGTTCTTTCTTTAAGATCGATTGATCAATCATATGGATGATGCTCTGGAAAAATATCTACATTCTTTTTATCAAAAATATCTTAAAAATCTTGATATTGATTTGGAACTTTACTTGAAATCTTTCCATTATTTAAAATGGATGTTGCGTAAATATCAAAAGATGATCTTTCTTTTGCAACATGCAAAAAAGCTTTTGCATCTATATGTACAAGTTTGGCTATACTAGACTCATGGCTTTTTACAAGATTAAAAAAACTCTTAATGATGTTTGAAGAAAATTCAAGTTTACGAGAAATCCAATCTATGACAGGATTATAGTTTTTTAGCCATGATAAACCTAAAATGACTTAATTAAAAAGGGATCTAATTATATTAAAAATTATGCAACTATTATGACCATTTATTATTATATCTATATGAAGTATTTTATGAGTAACATCTCCAAAAGATAATAGATGAATGTCTATGACTTCTACTTGTATATATTTAATTTTTTGTACTAACTGTAGATTATGACTTTTAACGA